TTATGTGAAAGCCTATGGATACATTGTGAGCTGAGTGGTTCTTATGTGAACGCCTATGGATACATTGTGAGGTGAGTGGTTGTTATGTGAAAGCCCATGGATACATTGTGAGGTGAGTGGTTGTTATGTGAAAGCCCATGGATACATTGTGAGCTGAGTGGTTGTTATGTGAAAGCCTATGGATACATTGTGAGGTGAGTGGTTGTTATGTGAAAGCCTATGGATACATTGTGAGCTGAGTGGTTGTTATGTGAAAGCCTATGGATACATTGTGAGGTGAGTGGTTGTTATGTGAAAGCCCATGGATACATTGTGAGGTGAGTGGTTGTTATGTGAAAGCCCATGGATACATTGTGAGGTGAGTGGTTCTTAAGTGAAAGCCCATGGATACATTGTGAGGTGAGTGGTTGTTATGTGAAAGCCCATGGATGCATTGTGAGGTGAGTGGTTCTTAAGTGAAAGCCCATGGATACATTGTGAGGTGAGTGGTTGTTATGTGAAAGCCTATGGATACATTGTGAGGTGAGTGGTTGTTATGTGAAAGCCTATGGATACATTGTGAGGTGAGTGGTTGTTATGTGAAAGCCTATGGATACATTGTGAGGTGAGTGGTTGTTATGTGAAAGCCCATGGATACATTGTGAGGTGAGTGGTTGTTATGTGAAAGCCCATGGATACATTGTGAGCTGAGTGGTTGTTATGTGAAAGCCCATGGATACATTGTGAGTGAGTGGTTGTTATGTGAAAGCCTATGGATACATTGTGAGGTGAGTGGTTGTTATGTGAAAGCCTATGGATACATTGTGAGCTGAGTGGTTGTTATGTGAAAGCCCATGGATACATTGTGAGGTGAGTGGTTGTTATGTGAAAGCCCATGGATACATTGTGAGGTGAGTGGTTGTTATGTGAAAGCCCATGGATACATTGTGAGGTGAGTGGTTGTTATGTGAAAGCCTATGGATACATTGTGAGGTGAGTGGTTGTTATGTGAAAGCCCATGGATGCATTGTGAGGTGAGTGGTTCTTAAGTGAAAGCCCATGGATACATTGTGAGGTGAGTGGTTGTTATGTGAAAGCCTATGGATACATTGTGAGGTGAGTGGTTGTTATGTGAAAGCCCATGGATACATTGTGAGGTGAGTGGTTGTTATGTGAAAGCCCATGGATACATTGTGAGGTGAGTGGTTGTTATGTGAAAGCCTATGGATACATTGTGAGGTGAGTGGTTGTTATGTGAAAGCCTATGGATACATTGTGAGGTGAGTGGTTGTTATGTGAAAGCCCATGGATACATTGTGAGGTGAGTGGTTGTTATGTGAAAGCCCATGGATACATTGTGAGCTGAGTGGTTGTTATGTGAAAGCCCATGGATACATTGTGAGCTGAGTGGTTGTTATGTGAAAACCCATGGATACATTGTGAGCTGAGTGGTTGTTTTGTGACAGAATTATTTTTTTCCTGTTTATAGAGAGGTCATTGTTTGAAATGGTTTTTTTTGGCCAGTTGGAACAGATATCGCTCATCAACTTACAGTTCTAATCAAAATTATTCATTTCCCATTGAAAATCAGATTTATTGTCAAAATGTACAGATTATCAACTGTTTGCAATGATCAAATCAAATAAAAGCAACTGAAATTCAAAAATAGCTCAACACAACAAAATCTCCAAGTGCTTTCCCCAAATTCAACTGAAAATGCAACTTATGACTTTATCCAGTCTCAAAATTATTCAACCTCTTCATGACACGCAGCTTTGGTATTTTGTAGAGCACCCTTTTGCTGTTATGACCTGTTGCAAATGATGCATGGTCAGATACCAGCTTCTGGCAGCATTCCTGAGGAATCTTAGCCCATTGCTCAAGAGCAGTGACCTCCAGTTCAGTAATATTCTTAGGTTTGCGTGCTGCAACCACCTTCTTTATATCCCACCAGAGATTTTCTATGAGGTTCAAGTCAGGTAATTGTGACAGCCACTGTAGAATTTTCCGGGACTTCTGCCTTGGTGAAATTTATGGTGTGCTTGGGATCATTGTCTTGTTGAAAGGTCCAATAACGCCCAAGCTTCAGCTTCTTCACAGACAGGGTGACATTTTCTCACAGGATTTACTGATACTTCAATGAATCCATACAGGTTTTCACTGTCAGAGAATGCAAAGCTGCCCCAGAGCATCACCGAGCCACCACCATGCTTAACTGTAGGCAGAGTGTTCTTTTCAGCATATGATTCATTCTTCTTACTCCAGACATACCACTGATCCATTGGGCCAAAAAGTTCCAGTTTTGTTTCATCTCTCCACAGAACAGAATCCTAAAACTTCTGTGGCTTATTTATATAATTTTGAGCATATTGGAGCAGACTCTTCTTTTGTGCCAGTAGTGGTGTTCATCTTGGAGTTCTGGCATGGAAGTCTGCATTTAGTAAATACCTTACCATGCTCACTGAAACCTCAGTGCCTGTTGCCATCAAGTCTTGCTGCAGGTCTTTTGCAATAATTCAAGGGTTTTTCACAACCTGTCTTCTTACAAATCTGGTTGTGGCCACTGATAGCTTCCTTTTTCTGCCCAGTCTAGGTACTGTAACTACTGTTCCTTCAACTGTGAGCTTGCAGACTATGCTTCCAACATAATCTATAGGAACATTCAGTGCCATTGCTATCATTTTGTATCCTGTTTGTGAAGGACGATGAACTCTTCTCTTAACTTTGTTGACCATTCTTTTGACTTAGCCATATTTCTAACATGCAGTCAAACATGACACTCAACAAACCCCTAACCAGTTCAGGTATTTCAAGTGTTCCAGCTCAAGCACGCTTGGTGCAACTAATGAAGCCCTGGATTAACACCTGTTTTGCCTATTTGTGCTGTTGTGAGGGATTCTATACAGGTGGTTGAATAATTTTGAGACTGGAGAAGTCATTATACAGGGAGTGCAGAATTATTAGGCAAGTTGTATTTTTGAGGATTAATTTTATTATTGAACAACAACCATGTTCTCAATGAACCCAAAAAACTCATTAATATCAAAGCTGAATATTTTTGGAAGTAGTTTTTAGTTTGTTTTTAGTTATAGCTATGTTAGGGGGATATCTGTGTGTGCAGGTGACTATTACTGTGCATAATTATTAGGCAACTTAACAAAAAACAAATATATACCCATTTCAATTATTTATTATTACCAGTGAAACCAATATAACATCTCAACATTCACAAATATACATTTCTGACATTCAAAAACAAAACAAAAACAAATCAGTGACCAATATAGCCACCTTTCTTTGCAAGGACACTCAAAAGCCTGCCATCCATGGATTCTGTCAGTGTTTTGATCTGTTCACCATCAACATTGCGTGCAGCAGCAACCACAGCCTCCCAGACACTGTTCAGAGAGGTGTACTGTTTTCCCTCCTTGTAAATCTCACATTTGATGATGGACCACAGGTTCTCAATGGGGTTCAGATCAGGTGAACAAGGAGGCCATGTCATTAGATTTTCTTCTTTTATACCCTTTCTTGCCAGCCACGCTGTGGAGTACTTGGACGCGTGTGATGGAGCATTGTCCTGCATGAAAATCATGTTTTTCTTGAAGGATGCAGACTTCTTCCTGTATCACTGCTTGAAGAAGGTGTCTTCCAGGAACTGGCAGTAGGACTGGGAGTTGAGCTTGACTCCATCCTCAACCCGAAAAGGCCCCACAAGCTCATCTTTGATGATACCAGCCCAAACCAGTACTCCACCTCCACCTTGCTGGCGTCTGAGTCGGACTGGAGCTCTCTGCCCTTTACCAATCCAGCCACGGGCCCATCCATCTGGCCCATCAAGACTCACTCTCATTTCATCAGTCCATAAAACCTTAGAAAAATCAGTCTTGAGATATTTCTTGGCCCAGTCTTGACGTTTCAGCTTGTGTGTCTTGTTCAGTGGTGGTCGTCTTTCAGCCTTTCTTACCTTGGCCATGTCTCTGAGTATTGCACACCTTGTGCTTTTGGGCACTCCAGTGATGTTGCAGCTCTGAAATATGGCCAAACTGGTGGCAAGTGGCATCGTGGCAGCTGCACGCTTGACTTTTCTCAGTTCATGGGCAGTTATTTTGCGCCTTGGTTTTTCCACACGCTTCTTGCGACCCTGTTGACTATTTTGAATGAAACGCTTGATTGTTCGATGATCACGCTTCAGAAGCTTTGCAATTTTAAGAGTGCTGCATCCCTCTGCAAGATATCTCACTATTTTTGACTTTTCTGAGCCTGTCAATTCCTTCTTTTGACCCATTTTGCCAAAGGAAAGGAAGTTGCCTAATAATTATGCACACCTGATATAGGGTGTTGATGTCATTAGACCACACCCCTTCTCATTACAGAGATGCACATCACCTAATATGCTTAATTGGTAGTAGGCTTTCGAGCCTATACAGCTTGGAGTAAGACAACATGCATAAAGAGGATGATGTGGTCAAAATACTCATTTGCCTAATAATTCTGCACTCCCTGTAAGTTGCATTTTCAATTGAATTTGACCACTTAAAGCATCCATTGTGTTGAGCAATTTCAATTGCTTTTTTTTTATTGGTTAATGGCAAACAGCTGAAAGTCTGTACATTTTGACAATAAACCAGATTTTCATTGGGGTTTGAATAATTTTGATAACTTCTCTATATACTGTTAAGGCAGAGATTTCACAACTAGTCTGTAACATTCATTACCTCAGAGCTCAACTATATGTCATAACTAAACTAATTACTCTGAAGCATACCTCCTTGGGGTGGCAGGGAGGAGAGAGAATTGTAGTCTGCTATTCCATTGGGTGCAGACCACAGCATACTTAATGTATGGCAGGTAGTACCCTGAAGGGGGCCCCGCAGGCAGTTTGTATTATCCTTTTAGCCCTGCAGCAGGCAAGCACCAGGACTACCATGGTGGGAGGCATTAGAATTGACAGCAGGTGTAGACCTCAGCAATGACTCCCTTGCATTCTGGCACTCTATAGTGAGTCAGAGCGCACCCTCCAGATCTTCTAAGCTTGCATTATGACTCAATGAGAGCCATATTGCAAGGGGGCAATTAGCTAGGTCTGCATCTGCTGGTGGTGCAAATCTCACGCTCTCCAGTTGGACCATAAGGGACTCAGGACTCCTGCTAGACCACCAGGTAGTATACTCCCCCCTGACCCCATTGGACCACCCAACTAGAATTTCATTCTCATTTACCTTTAGGGAAGTACAATAAACAACATATTCTACACTGACATAGATTTCAAGGACCAGATCACTATGAACTATAAAACAAGAAATCTGAAAAATGCTAAATGTGGCGAATGATAAAGGTGAGGGATGCATGAAGATAAAATGACATAGAACTGAAAGTGGAAAACTGTTAAACTGCCTTCTTATTAGAAGAACGCAGGTGAGGGGTATTTACAAAAATAAATAAATAAATAAAACAGGCCAGTAGAATCAAGTTGAATATGATTTGCAAAGTGGGGAAAGAAAAGGTGGAAAATGGAAAATGATCGAGAGTGACAAAAAGTTTTCTTTGTAAAAGTGCGTAAATTTCAAATTTAAGCCAATGATGAAATGGAGGCAGCTTTGCAAAATCTCAATATCAGGTTGCTGCCAGTGATCCAAACAGACAGACTGACTGAATGTCAGGGAGCACAGCAGCGTACAATGGAGGGAGAACAATTAATCTGCAACAAAAAAAACACATTCTGTATTGTGTCGTCATATTTAAAAAATAAAATACAAAAAAATCCCAAGACAAAGAAGTGAACTCTACATAAAGTAATTTTAATATTTCAAATAATTTTTTCAGATAAGTCCGATAAAAACTAAAAAAAGAATGCACTCATACAATATTCGTATGATATACTGTACAAAAATATTTGCATATAGACAATATGTTTCTAAGTTTTAGAACCATTAAAACATTTTATATTATTACACCAGTGGAATGAGCTCAACAAAATTAAATTAATGAAACTATGTGCATTTGGATTTACATAAATTAATTAACATTTCAAGCATCTATAATCCTTAAATGTCAGGTTTTCACAGATGCATTCTATGAATTGCTCAAGACAGAATAAGTGAATAATTATGTGCAATGATACGTTTGTGTTCAATATTCACTGACTATTTAACGCACATGTATCAATGCACATAAGTCAAGATGGAAATAATTGTTTGTAAATGATATTCCTGTAAAAAAAAAATGTATTTGTATGCCAAATTTTTCCATTTTATTTTCAGAACACAGTTAAATACTTTGTCAACATTAAAAACATTTGTAAAAAAAATATATTTTCTGTGTGGTTAGATTATAAGGAAATGTTTACCACTAAATGCCACCAATTCATAACAATTAATTTGTATAGGATGCCAATTGGTGATGTCATAAACAAGGGACGGAGACAACAAATTAAACGGATTTCCTGCTTGCTCTATACATGTTATCACACTGTACCAATGCCTTTTCATTCTCTATATTCATAAAAGGGATACAAGTAATTAATTAGGAATCAACTACTTAAAGGAACACTAGACAGTGCTAAGAATAAATAAAACATTTAAAAATGAAATCACTGTTGATTTACTTAGAATTCATCACCTTACCCATAAAACACTTTAGCAAGCTGAAGTGCTTTAGGAGTGTGGAGTGGTGCTTTCAATGCCTACAACTCCTATTATTCTCAGTCTGAAGCTGTTTAGAGTTGTATTTCAGAACGCTGGAGCGTCACCCTTTTTGTACAGTTCCAGATTCATCTCTTGGCTGTTGGGGGAATGAGATATATTTATATTTGTAATTTCAGCATTGTCTTGCCAGTTCTATTTAGTAGAAAATAAGTAAACGGGGCATTATAAAATGCAAATATGTTGTGGTTCAAAAATACTTGAATGGTGTGATGTGCCATAATGTGTTGTTACTGTGTACGATGGCTATATATTTATTTATATCAGACAAGATGTAACATTTAAACTTGCATAAAAGTGCCATTTCGTTCTTGTTTCAGATGGCATGAATGTTGTATGCACTGGTGTGGCAGAGGCTTTGTTATATTTCTCCCCCATAGCATCAGGTCTCAGGTCCCTACTGTTGACACCTATGTACTGTATACAAATCCCACTGGCTGATTCTGATAAATGTCGCATGGCAGCCAACATACACAACATATCATGTTAGCTAAAACTGTAAAATAAGCTCCAAAGAACACTGCACAATGGCCCTTTAACACAATGTGTGTATCATTGTTTACCAAATAGTTTCATTTCTATTTTAAATAGCTGTGATGCCTCTCTTATTGTTTAATGAATTGTGCACCCAATGTTTTAGTAATGGCCAGTTCTAGATCACCATCACAAAAAGGGCCATTAACCTACCATAGACTGGTAGAAATAATCCCTTTCCTTACTGTAAGTATAATACAGTGACATTTTACCTGACGTTTCAACATAATTGAAACCCTTGTACAAGCCTGCAGGCATGTTGATTTTTGTTTACTGGCATTAAAGAACTTTTCATGGGATTGAAAAGCCCACATTCCAGTCATTACTCAATGTTTCCAGGTCCAAGTAGAACATGTACTCTCATATACCTGAATAAGCCTTACAACACTTGAAACCTTTGTTTGTGTTTTCAGTCTTCACACAGGTGAGAGCTGATTGTGTTTTCTTTTACGTTCAAACTCATCATATTCAAGGGTAGGTCCAGAAAAGGTCCATGTTAACCTGGTTTCTAGATTGAAGGCATTTATAACCAAGTCTTTAACAGTTCATTTGGAAACAAAGCTAAAGTGTTTGTTTAGCCTCTCAGTATCTGTAGAGGAATCACACGGAGATCCTTGAAGGACCAGAGCACTTGTCATTCAATTCTGCATTGTAAACAAAAATGGACCTCTGACATCTGCATCTAACTCTTTTATTTTTACTGGCAAGGCTTTAGTATGTGATCATTGTTGCAATTATGAAATCCCATTAGTTTACAAAAATGCAGAGCCTGCTTGGTCGTCTACAGGAAGATGGAAGTGTCTCCACACAGTCCTTTTGCTGCTTCTTATCATTTCCAATACTGATTTAACTGGAACTTCGTTTAGTAAACTAAATATTTCATCTCTGAATATATCAGAGGAAATATCACTAAACAAGCTCTGTACAAGAGGGCAGTACTATTGACCAACGCACGTGGCTTTGTTAACCAGGGCTCGGCTTTGAAGCAGAAATAAACAGCATAAAGTGCAACCGCAAAGAAGTGGCCAATGAGTAGTGTGGGTTTCGGAGACATCCTGTCGGTGGAGAAAAAGAACATGAAAATCATGCATTAATGTAAATACATGAACATATTTCACCCACAACCTGACACAAAATTGTAATATATATTTACATTAGCTTATATTAATAAAGATATATTTACATATCTTTCATGATTCATCTGTCATCTATTTATCTCCCACCACTCTTGACTGTTGACTACTAGTGTGTGTGGGCTACCACATGATAGAGCGAGGGTAAGCAATCTTTTAGCAGCACTGTGCCAAAACAAGACTTTGGTGTTAATTAGCATGCTGGTCCTATTTTTTTACCTTAATGTATATTGCCGTATTCTGTTCGGTTATATATGGTTGCTGTAGCTACTTTGTAGAGTTGTACTTGTGCATATGTGGTCTGTGTTATATTATGTTTGTTCTGAGCACTTTGTGGTATTGTGTTTTCACATTTGTATGTGAGCTGAGTATAATGTTATCCGTGGGAATGTGGGCTGTGTATGGGGGTTGTTTGTTGAATTCTGTGTGTGGGTGTTATGTCATATTGTTTGTGTGGTGTTGTCTGTATGTGGGGCTGTTTGGGATATTCCATGTGGGAGGATGCTTGTGGGGATGTATATGGGTTGTCACTAGTGTTGTGTTTTTGGGGTCTGTGTGTGTTTCAATGTGGGTTGTTTGTATTACTGCGAGCGGGGAAGACTCCTTCTGGAGCTGTATGTGAATGTTCGGCTGTGTGGCTGACTTCCCTGGAGTCCATTGAGAACTGTGCTGACCAGGTACAGGTCAAGGGCTGGATCCTCAGATCTCCCCAGCCATTTTAGGTCTGGCAGCCTTGTGTGCCATAGATAGTTGACCACTGCGATAGACCCTGAGATAAATGTAATTTTGCACTTTATTAGTCCACCTCTGGGTACACCACTCAATTCTTTGAACTGGTGCCAGTTTAAGCATACTTTCTTAAATATAAAAGCATTGCTAGTGCCAAAAAGGGGATAGAATGACAGATTAAGTGGTTCTAAACCCTGCTAACCCCAAATTGGATGACCATGCTAGCTGTAGTGGGTTCCTACTGGCAGGCATAGATACATCAAACTGTTGGTTATTGTAGTTTGTAGTTGAATATTATAGTTTCAATACTATCCCCAATGTGATGGATACCACATTTTAAATGTATTTTTAGTATTATATTAAAATTTAAGAAAAGTCCCCAATGTAATTTTACAATTATACAAACAGTTAAGAGCTTGTACTAGTTACTGTTCAGGTGCTGAATGTTCATTCTTTAACAGACTCTGATGTAAAACAAAAGTGCCAGTGATCCAAAGAAATAAGAATAAGAATAAGTTTAAACTTACACAGACAATAGTCCTATAGGACCAGCAACACATTCTCCTCCAAGCTTAAAATAATTAAAGCAGGCTTTTCTCAGCTGATACGTGGAGTCTGTGAAAAGAAATAAAAGTTAATACAAATCACACAAGCATGTTGGTTTACATTGATAATCATCAGGAAGAAAAAAAACATATTGTTAAGAATGATTAGAACTCAAATTCTTATCTTTCTAAATATGTTTAGATTTCTTAAAATAGGCAAAATCATTATTTCCATCCAAGTAGAGAAGATGATTAGTGAATGCAGATATGACACAGATGTTTCTATTTAGCCAGTAGGAATAGTACAACATTCTCAATAATATCATGAATAAAGAGAATTCCATTCTATAGAAGACGGAATCTGAATTCAGAATATATCATTCATAAAAATAACTGCAAATTGTCAGTATGGCTGGTTCATGGAAGGTTGATGGGTCAGATACAGGTAATATGGATGGTCTGATATATTCTCAAGTTTTTAAAAAAAAATAAAAAAAACCTGTTCTGAAGTGGACAGCATGGTCTCATATATATGGGCAGAGCAGAGAGGTCTGTGGGCATTGTTGGTATCTAAAATAAACAGCCTTAAGGTTTTCAGGTTTAGCTTATATATGTAATTTAACAGCATTTTGTTGATAGGAGAATTCCATGAATTGTCAGTCTTTACTCACTATCTGAAGCAGCAAACAATTCATACAGAGCCTGGGCCAGGACATTGACCACAAAGGAATGGGACTTCTTCCTAGACCAATAAAATGTCTTCTTGGCCTGAAAATAAAAATATATGAATGTAATATGATACAAATTAGTAAGTATTATCGAGGCTTGTAGCCCTCTGAACTTATTGCACATCCCTCTAGCAATCATTTAGTCTTAAAAATATCTCTTTAATGATACAGCACATGGCTAAGTGTGTACAGCTTGAAATTTGAAATAAACTTGCTTGATAAACACATCTGGCAAGACCTTTCTCTCTGAATTAGGCTGGAGAGTCAAGTCGCCCCTTCTCAGGAGTACTGCTCATCTCTGCTGAAACCACTTGAGTTTCAGGTACCTAACTATGTAGCTAAATAGCCCATGTTTAGTAATCAAGCCCCTAAATCCTAATAAACTCAACCTTTATGTCTCACCTTGAGCACATCTGAATGTTCACCAAGGTCCGGCAGGCTCTGAAGTAAATCTCTCCAAATCTTTATATCATTCAGGACCACGCTCATCCCACCACCTGTCAGTGGGTGTCTCATGTTGTAGGCGTCTCCCAAAAGTAAAACTCCTGTTCCAGAAAAAGGAAAAAAAAGTCTTTATTCTTGGACTGGTGGACTACATAGCAAAGATCTGCCACTATTAACTAGTTAAATTGCTCTCTGATTTGAATTGTCTGTTACTCTGCTTACTTCATCAGGATTAAAATAAGATTTCCAAACTCCAGACTTCAAAAAGTTTTTGTACCCCAACCTCTGAATTAGTGCTATAAAATGTTATCAATCGAAGTGCTCTATATATGGTAGAAAGTTATACAAGTGATAATAAATTCATTATGATAGATAATAAATTATGGAGGCTATGTAGAAAAGAAATCCTATGAAAAGTTTGAAAAGTGAAGGAACGAGTGTTCTTATGTTCTCTACATCTTATTACCAATATTCATGTAGCACATAATGTGCAAAAAATAAATAATGTGACAAGTTACCTTTTTTGTTCACTGGTGATGGTGGTAGAAAGCTAGCTGGCATTGTCCTAAGTCGATCATTTTCCACCGCAAACAGGAATGGTTCTTTCAAATGATCTGAAGGGGAATATGGGGAATGAGTTTTATATGAGATTTTTCTGTGTGATTTTTTTTTTTTTCTCCCCAAAATTCAAAACAAAACACAGGTTAAAGATGCGCTTTGCATTTGTAGCATAAACTAGCCACACCCTTTTGTTTTGTGCTTTGCCGTAAAATTTCCAGTCTAGGCAACTGACCTACAGTGCTGGACTGGCCCACTGAGATACTGGGAAATTTACAGATGGGTTGCTCTTGTCCTCGGCTGGTGCTCTTCTACTGTGCTAGGCGAGTGCTCCTCAGCCTCCCCCTAGTGCAGCACAGTGTCGTTCTTGCTTGGCACTGATCAGCCACTCAAAATATGCTGGTGGGAACTCCCTGCTGCTGCTCTGCATAATTTGGAGAGGGGTTTCTGCCGACGAGGAAGCTCTTACCTATATGAGGATTGCCTACACAGCTCCCTCGCATGCCCTATAGAGGTGCCAGGACTCAGAATGCAATGTCACTCTCGCCCAGGCACCACTGCAGGGTGCGCAAGGAACCTGTACAGACACTGATCATATGGATCGGAACTCACTCAGAGCAGAGCAGCCCACACTGGACCCCAGGCTGAGAAACCACTCCAATTCTCAATCAGAAACAAATACTAGTCCATATTCATAGGTAGTTCAAAGTTAAAAATTAATTTTTAAAATGTAATATATAAAAACATTGTGTACAAGAATCAAAAAAGGAAAAAACGGAATAAACCAAAGTATAAACAGGTAGTTATAGAGATGGTAATTCACTCTATGTATGCTGCAGATTTCAGAGTCAGCAGCAGTAGGTTTCACTGGTCAACTAAAAATAGCAAGATTGCACACATTAAATTATGTTGCAACAATATTTTTTCTATAATGTCTCACAGTAGTCCTTTGAGGGTAATAGGTATTAGCTTGAAGTAAAAAACAAAAGTTGCATAGTCTGTGTAGGGTGCTTTTCTACTAAATAGGGTTGTTGGCCAATGTCCTAAAACTTGTAATAAACCAGGGAAAATTTAATGTTGAAAAGATTGGTCTAGAAAGGGATATTGATCTGCAGCAACAAATACTGGCTAGCTATAGCTGATAACCTAAAGTCAGGAAGACATCTTTGCTAAAGTCAGTAGTTATAAGGTGTGGACCCAAATGGTTTATATAGCTTTCAAGTTATCTTTTGCACCTGTATATTTGCACACCATGCTGGAGTGATGCATAGTTTTATAGTTTTGTTTTCCTTAGGCTGCTTTTATGTCCCAGACAGCCACTAGAGGGACTTCCGGTTTGTTAGGTGACTTTTGGTTGCCTAACCGATGCTGGACATCCTCACGCTATGCATGAGTACATCTAGCGTCATGTTAAACCCCATAGGAAAGTATTTTACGTGCTTTCCTATGGGGGAAGTAGTAATGTGAGTGTGCCCATAACCGCGCATGCGCATTAGGTTTCCCCCACCTGCTGTCGGCGGGGGAGGAGCAGAGGCGGAGCCTGAACTGGCTCTGGGTTTTTATCCCCTTCTATACAACAAGAGGCGCAAAGTAGGCGGACACTGTAGGGAGCTATAGTGCCAGGAAAATAACGTTGTTTTCCTGGCACTATAGTTTCCCTTTAATATGAAACTCTTTCTTCTTCCATTGTTATCTCACGTTCTGAGTCTTCCATATCTCACCTGGTAGCTGAGGGAGAATCTTTTCCACCATATACTCTTTGAGGTTCTTTGGCATATCGCCTCTGATGTCAACAAGAACTCGTGTTTCGGTGGACGAAATCTGGTAGATGAGCACGAGACTTGGGTTTGCTAGAACCAGTTCTGCATGATTTGCTTTAAACTGCGGGGAGTTCTAACACGGGATAAAAAATGGAAAGAGAATGATTAATTTTTATTAATAAATGTGAAAAAATATATCATGAATCATGCAGAAGTAAAATGAGTTACAAGCTGCAAAAAAGTACAAAGTGTATTGGAATAGATTGGGAGCCTGATCAGGGTGATCATACAGAGCAGGCTCTGGTGTCAGGTTTCTCTATCCTGTTGCTATACAATGATGTCATGTTTCTGTCATTACTGTATTAAAGGATTGGTATGAAACTGAGAAGGGTAAGGAAGGGGCTGAAAAAAAGCTTCCCTAGCTGAGAGGCATTGCCCAATAATGAAATCTGACCAGGTTTATTACAAACCTTTCTATATTAATCTTGCTTTATTTGGTTTGTATATTTGCTTAAAAATGTTTGCATGCTGGTTTTGAAAAAAGTAATTGGCACGTGATGACAGTCTCATTAAGATCGCTCTTTATTTTGACAACCTTGAATTATGTCTAATTACCATCAGGAACAGGTGCTTAAAATTCCATCAGTTACAGTACATAACATCTTAAAAGCTAATCTAACCCTAACCCTAAGACTGCCCCAAGCACCCAAAACATGACCCTAAAGAACCACTTAGAGGTTAGAGACACCAAAACCACTTCATCGCAATAATGGATGCAGTGGCCTTAAAACGTTATCCCTGCAGTGTAAAAAATGGTTGTTTAGTTGATAAAGCAATGTTTCCATTGCAGCAACAACATATCTCTATTGGCTGTCTTACTGACAGCTGAGCGTCCAGTTACACTTAATGAGGCTGAGGTCCACATACCCCCCAACCTCCTAGCCTTTACTCCCCTACAAGGAGCATTTAATGCATGTTTAGCTGCAGCGATAACACATTATGAGCTAACCTTTTTACAGTGTTCATTAAGTGTTATAGTGTTCATTAAAGGGATATTGTAGGCATCAAAACAACCTTAGCTTAATAAAGCAGTTTTTGTGTATAGATCATGCCACTGCAGTCTCGCTGCTCAATTCTCTGCCATTTAAGAGTTGAATCATTTTTGCAGCCACACCTCCTGTGGCTGTGACTCACACAGCCTGCATGAAAAAAAATGTTTCATTATCAATTAGATGTTAACTTGCTTTTGAAGTTTTATCTCCTGCACTGTAAAGTGAACTTTAATCACACATAGGATGCTCCTGCAAGGACTAGAAGATAAGAAATTCTAAATTAAACAGAATGTGACTAGGGCTGCATAAACAAAGTGATTTGACTCCTAAATGGCAGAGAATTGAGCAGTGAGACTCCAGAGACATGAACTATACACCTAAACTGCTAAATTAAGCTAAAATTGTTTTGGTGCCTAAATTGTCCCTTTAAGCTTCCCCTAACTGTAAACATTATCAATACATACATGACCTAAGCTTAGACCTGACAGCATAGTTTTAAACGTCACTGTAAGGACACAAGTATATTTAATTTAGATAAACATTAATGTAGGAGTATTTCCCTTAAATTACCTTGTTAATGGGGGAAATATAACAGCTATATATTCTTTTGTGAATTTTTTTCCCACTAGTTTGAAACACAATGTTACAGAAGCTTTTTCTGCCACTACTAATCATTCCCTGTGTCTCATCAATATAAGAATAAATGTGGCATAACATTATAACATTTTTATAGCGAGAAAATCTGAAATGATTAAGGTATTGAAAATGAATAGGGATTATGTTTCATGGATAATAATCCTCATACATTTAGAATAAATATTTTCATTTTTAGGGTGTATTTTAATGATATATCCAACAAAATCTTACCTTCAAAATGCAACCAACAAAATGAGAGGATACAGTGACATGACCAGAAACAAGATCTTTTCTAAATTTGGAAAAAAGCCCATCAGCTACAACTGTCAATGGTGCACGGAGCTCCTGCAACACGAATACAGTTATCATCAGACAAAGCACTCAGAATCATTAAGTATTAACGCATGCAGTTTTGTTACTCGGTTAACGACAATTAGTAGAAATATCATTATTAAGAAGTTGTTCATCACTATTACTGGAAGAGTTAAGAGATTCTTCAAATTAAACTTTATGAAACGGCTGAAATTGTTTTGCTAACTAGGCTATTTTTCCAGCTTGACTATGTTGGTCTAAAATTTCAAATTCCTTGGTCAATTCTAAACAAATCCCCAGTCTACTAAACAATCTGTTTATGTCTCAGATCATGTAATAAGGTTACACAATGGAAAAGCAAACAACTATATGACATATTTAGTGTTATAAAAAATTAATGAAAACACATGAAAATAATGGAAAAACAGCATATCTTTCTCTGAAACTCGGGCGACTCACCAGCTGTCAAGACTTTCACAAACACGTTAAAAATAAAAAGATGCGAGAATCTAATGTGAACCTGCTTACACACTAACTACATACTATGCTTTGCACTGAAAAAATAAAGATAAAAAAAAAACAAAAAAACTTTCTCAAACTCTGCACATATTAAAATAAACCCATTCTCCATAATAACCCACGGCCTCCAAGCAGTGTCCTGCACGCTTTTTCAAGATGCATACATTTTCCTACCCACTAGATGGCTGGATTCCATTACAGAACCCATACGATACACCATGTGCATGACTAGGCATAGAAGCCTTTCAGATAAGGGAGGGGAGAGCCAGGGAGAATACAGTGTTTCTATCAGAAATACCATATACATAGTAGAAATAATGTACACGAATCAAAATTGCATTGTAATTCACACAATATGCATCCCCCTTCATTCTTCACATAGGGATGGTTCCGGAGCCTTGTGCAATCTCGAGGCAGTTGGGAGCTGCCTTGGATTGCCTTGTGAATAATTCTGCTCCGCACACATTCATTTTGTTCTGTATTTCAAACCTTTTGTGCACTGATTTCCATGCTGAATAAATAATTCCCTGTGTCTCATCAATATAAGAATAAATGTCAGTAAGTAATTTACCTCTGTACCCATCTAAATCCTACCCTTGCTGTGTCAACATCGCCATTTCATTCATTCTCCCATCTCCTGCTAACTTTTCACATCTTTCTGATGGAAAGACTTTCAGTCCATAGCACATTTATATTACATATTCTGTGTCTGTTAATAAATACTATATTCACAAATTAAGTGAAGTTCTGGAAAAGTGTAAGGTAAATGTTACCTTGACGTCCCCTGTTTCTTTGTCTCTGTATTGTACTCCTAGGACCGTGTTGTCGTCTTCAAGTAGTTGCATCACTGTCCCTTCAATGTATCTAGTGCTGGAAGACAAGGAGCAACCAATTAATATCATCAACTATTTATTAAACATAACATTATATGGCTACAGACAATTACAGTAATATGTATTTACAAACAATATGTGTAGAAGCGAAGTAATGTACCAAGGAGAGGGCTGGGATAAGTGTCAAATATGGAGGAACTCTTTATTGGTCCAGACAATGAGAAATATCATATATGGAAAACAAATATATTTTATTGAAAAAAAACTATTAAAATTGCCCAGTAGCAAGGCAAATACAATGGTGCTCATGTACTGTGAACAAACCCAAAAGTGAGGAAATAAAAAAAGATCAAAACGATATATCAAGAATAGGAATAGGGTAGGTGTAAATAAGTAAACACCAACTGGTATGATTGGCATGGTGTTAGTAATTCCAATCATACTGCCTATTGGGGGATCAAGGTAGCGCGTATCACCACTAAAGAGTGTAAAAATCTATGCACACGTCTGTACCAAGATGGTTACGAAAATACTCGATAGGGTGAACTAATAGGGAATAGCCCTTAGTGCCAGTAAAAATACTAAACAGAACAGCGTAACAAAGTTACTGGATAATTAGCAGCTAAATAATAGCAACTAGTCTAACTCCCATTAATGGCAGCCAGTGGTGCAGAGGTAAGACGCCCTGTCTATAACTTAGGAAAATATGTACTAAGTGGACACTGGAGTGTAGCGTGTCAAAGGATGATATTGGCACAAAGTCAAACTCTCATTACTCGTAGGCATATACATTCAGATAAGGTTTGCTGCCTATCTAGATTCACTATCTATAACTTGGGAAAGTGTGTTAAAAGAATAGTTGCTGAATGGACACCAGAGTATAGCGTGTCACAGGATAATGTACGTATGAATATTGGCACAAAGTCAAACTCCCATTACTTATAGGCATATAAATTCAGATAAGGTTCGCTACCTATTGCTGTGAGAGAAGTATGGACTATTAAATTGTTCTATCAATATAGAGATATGTGGAGAAGGTTAGACAGTTGTAATGATATACTGACTGGCTAATCCCCTCCTGTTTATAAAAGTACCTATCGCTGTAGTGCTTCTGTGTTCAGAGGGACGATGGCAAAGCTATGGCTGATAGAACTTTGTGCAAGATAGTATGCTGGCTCTGAGTCTAATACCAAAATTAGCACTCCCTAGATGCTACGGCATCACGTGCCAGAACGAGGTGTATGGTAGCATGGCAGGTATAGCTGTGCAAGTGATCTCTCTTGTCAATTGCACTGTTCAAAGTTAGCGTGGATAGGTATCTTCACAATTACATAGAGAGATTGGTTTTATGATAGAGATAGTCTTGCACTATAAAGGTAGCCTAAGACACTTCTCCCCCTGTGCCTTCGAGGGCACCTAAAGCTATCTCCGTACTGTGTTAATTGCACATAATCTCTTGAGACGCTAGGTAGCTAGAGTGTGCTAGAAAGCCGAGTGGCTAATAGAGTGGGACAAAAATAAACATAATAGTAAGTCTGTGTGCTGTCATATGGTAGTGAAAGACAGCACTAGAGGGACCCCTGACGCACGCGTTTCTCCTTGTCTGGACCAATAAAGATTTCCTCCATATTTGACACTTATCCAAGCCCTCTCCTTGGTACACTACTTCTCTTCTATGCATATAGTTTCTGTTTGGGGTTACCCCCCTTTATTTGTGTACCAATTGTATCTCTGGCTCGTCCTATTCCCCCAGTCCTGTATTTACAAACAATGATAAAGTAAAATATGTGGATCGCCCTTCTTCCATTCATCATTTTCAAATTCTGATGTTACATTTTGTCTCACTTACCTAATTTATGAAATTAAATAATGTGGCAAAATGTTGTAGCTTTGTGATTTTTCTTTCTCTGTTTAAGAATTCTGGAGAGGACCTAGTCTCGCTTTATTCGTATATAAAATTCTTGTGTGTACTATGTGCCTCACTAGATAGCTGCCTCTTTGAATTAACATGCAGTAACTGCACTGTAGCACTTTTTATGGCCAGTAATTTAAAGGGACACTATAAGCACCAAAACAACTTTAGCATAATGGAGTTGTTTTGGTGTATAGTTCACACCCCTGCAGTGTAATTGTTTTGGTGCTTATAGTATCACTTTAACCCCTTATGGACCAAACTTCTGGAATAAAAGGGAATCATGACATGTCACACATGTCATGTGTCCTTAAGGGGTTAAGCTTAATTTTAAATGTTTATATTTGCTTTTGTATTACACAGCCATGTTACAATACTGCCGCACACCCCATGTGTTCCCTATTAAGGGTTAATAAGTGTGCACAGATTTAGAAAAATACCCCCCTCTGCCTCATTAGAGATTTTACCTAATAGCTTAAAGCAGCAAGAAAAATTGTTATTGTAAGACTCACCTAAGATGTTTTGCCTTGACATGACAGGTGAGCTTACACTTGAATGGTCATTCCAGTTATTTAAATGTGTACTGGGATTTTGGATAGTGTACAGTAACTTTTTTCTTTCATTATTATTGTATGTATTGGGGCCGATGTGTACTATATTCAGTGCTGCCGCTCAGGAGTAGTGAGAGTTTGAGCGCAGGGCTTAATTTTGCATGTTAATTTCAGTAATGCTGACACTAATCTAAGGTCTTTCATGACACAGTGAGGAAGGAGTTATCTAGACCTACTTGGGCTCGGCCATAGCTATTTTTCGGAGACCCATGATAAAGCGTCCATGATGAAAGGCTCTGCCACACTGCAGCTGATTGTCTTTATCTTTGGGGTAAGGAATCTCCACCTCTGCTTTAGTTTCCATATCATGGACAACATATCCATGTACCACATGAGCATCTAAACCTTCCACGGCATCTAGAAGGATAAAAACACAGTTACAATTGCCTTTATTTCAGATTAAGCAGCTACATGCATTTAAATCATTAAAGGAACACCATAGGGTCAGGACATGTATTCCTGACCCTATAGTGCAAAACCCACCATTAAGGTGGCTTGCCCTCCACTTACCCCTCTTGAAAGCATGAAGACACCGTTTTGGCTAATCAGCACCTCCTCATAGAAATGCATTGACTGCTGCTGACATCATCAGATGTGGAATCATGAGTCAAACACATTTCTTCCACATAGGAAAGCAATGGATTGGCTGAGCTTGTCAAGGAGGCATATCAAGGGCATAGCCAACACACGTCAAACACAGCCCTGGCTAATCAGCATCTCCTCAAAGAAAAAAAATTGAATCAGTGCATCTCTATGAGAAAAGTTCAGTGTCTCCATGCAGAGCGTAGAGATGCTGAATGGCAGTACTGCACCTCTAGCAGCCATATGAGGCCAGTGGAGGTGTCCCTAGGCTGTAATATAAACACTGCATTTTCTCTGAAAAGACAGTGTTTACAGCAAAAAGCCTGAAGGGAATGATTATACTCACCAGAACAAATACAATAAGTTGTACTTATTCTGGTTACTATAGTGTCCCTTTAATGTCAAAGGATTTTCTTTACAAAGTGAGATACAGATTCAGCCAGCACAATCACCCGTCCTCCCAAAGAAGACAATAATTACATTTGTTTATACTTATATTTAAAATATTTTTTCTTTTAATTCAGATTTTGACTTCCATTGCCCCTTCTTCTAAATGCTAAACTGTAAACTAATCACTGTCTGCCTGGTGTTAGTGGGAGAAATTACATAGCACACAATATGAGAGACACAGGGTTTGCCATTCAGCAATGCTCGTAAGGTTGGACAAGTATTTAAAAAATTAGAAATCCAGCTGGGGTACACATTTTGTCAAGGGTAACATCATCCTATCAGCTGATCATTGATCTTAGAAGAATGGTAATTACCCTAAAACAAACACTACAAGTATCGCAGTTGTGCTTAGAGCCACTGTGAACGCTAAATCACTATAAATCCAAACATATCGGATGATAGATAAAGGCAATAAACATCGGTGTCTGCTGATTACAAGGTACACTGTAAACATGCAGCAAAGATAGGAGGAATGAAATGACAGTAATCATTAGGCTCTACATTTTAAACCCCTATTGTGGGACTCATTTATGCCATGTTCATCAGACCACGGCCAGCAGTCTAGAACAGCTGATGATAACTTACCACCAAGACCGAGGTCTCTTAAAGCTTGATATCCTCCTGGCTGAAGTAGTTCTCCTACTATACGATCTGGTTCTTTTAAGTCTCTTTCAATTACTGCAACCCTTCTTCCATCTCTAGACAACACGGCAGCTAATGCAGAGCCAAGAACGCCAGAGCCAACAACAATAACCTCAGGTTCATCGCAAGATGTTGAAAAGCAAGTGGTTGCTCCATCCGTTTCCATAGTGGACCCAAGCAGATTGTTTTCCGTTTTAATCTGTGTTAAGAGAGCAAATGAATTGAGGTCAATAAAATATATGCATTATTAGAGTCCTTAGAAGACACATAAGTTCTTAACACAAAGGGCTACAAGATTTGTGCATTTGGATTCAGCAGAACCAAATGATAAAAAAATGTGTCTGTGGTCCTGAACTCAATCTCATTTTTGAAAAAGCGGTTCAGCCAAAAACATTTTCTTTCCATGCACAAGTCTAGTGGCACCATCTTATGTAAATCCCTTCTTATTAAAGATAGAGGCAGAAAGAGGAAAGAGAAGGAAGGATGTTGTTTTGGTAGAGACTGCACTGTACACCCTAAAACTGTACACTATTCACAAGCACCCAGTGTGGCATCCTAACTTGGCAAGAACTCAGCAACTACTTAATGGCAGACAGAGAACACTTAAGCCCTGAATATGTTAACTTTATTAAATACCAAATAGGCAAAGCATGGATTTTTACAAAACTATACAGGCCAATGTCCAATTAACTCATAACCAGCACTATAAATTATCTGTGTAAATTGCAGAATGCAGAAGATTAATTAAAATAAAACAAATCTCTGGTCTTCCTCTGAATTAACTAAGGTCCTGTGAGAAATCACTACTCCACAAAATTCTATGTAAATGCTGAATTCACATTGGGAATGAGGAGGTAGGTGATCCAGTAATGAGGGGCACAGGGTTCTTTTAGGAGCGCGAGCAAACAAACAAAAAGTGTAATAGAAGTAAGTGTTACTTTTGTTCTGTTAATTGTGCTGCCTGAGTTTATTTTATTAGAGGGACATACCTGGCACCCACTCATGCTAGGAACACAGTGTATGTTAGGCTACAGCTAGTTATGCTGGGCAGGATTAACTTTATAACTCCTTCATATTTGAAACCTGCAGTGTTTGCCTATTTTTGTCATTGCTTAGGTTTCTTGACTGTAGTTGGGCTGTTACTCCTGTACAGTAGAAAGATATCCATTGAACTACAAGTCCCACAAACCCTTGCTCTACCCAGTCTTCTCTGTATTCTTTCTCTATGCTGACTGTCAGAACTTATAATAATGACTGACAGAGAACTTTAACGTCTTTAACTGCCACTACCCACCTGATTTACCTGATGAATTATGTATTAGTTACAGTCTCCTACAGCCCCTCCCATTACAAGGGGGTCGTGTGGGAGTGGTGGGGGGTGTTGGGGGGATGGGGGGGGGGTTGAAGATAGTTAAAGTCCTACTATTTCATAACCAAAGGGTGCAGAAGTGTAACCAGTGACTTTACACCTAAACTAAGCACTCTAATGAAGTTTACTATAACAATGCTGAATTAATAAATGCAGTGGGATTAGAGCGGTTATGTAATCTAGATAAATATATACTACTACATTTAACATAATCATGTAATATTTGTGCAGATTCCTCAATTTTTAGCACTCTAAACCAGAGACGTTAAGAAGTATAAGAAACTGAAGGGAGTGGTTGACAGACACAGTATGAGGGAATATTTTAGTAACACTGTGTCTTTAAATGTTATGCAAGAGGAAAAAAGTACATAAAAAGGTTTTGATGTGTCATTTCAATTGAAGTGATACACAGGGGAACACCTAAATGAATACATAATCATTTAATATAATTTGATGATGGGCATCTAGTAAAATAGCAAATGATGTTTATTAAGCATATTGAATAATTGTAATATTGTTGGTAATTCCACAATCCCTTTATGACTAATATGTATAATGTATAAATCAGTAAGTCAATATACAATATGTATGTATAATGTATATCTTTCCTGGTAAAATATTTTATAAATAAATAATAATAATATATAAATCAGTAAGTCAATATACAATATTTATGGAAAATATCAAAGCTGGTTTGAGCCCTCTCCACGTCATTTATCGGTCACTATTATTTGGTCCATAAATTACTTTTTTATCCCCCCCCCCCCATTGTATAAATAGCATAAAGCGCTGCGGAATATGTTGGTGCTATATAAATGCCAATAATAATGTCTATACCTCATTGATGCCAATCTTTGGTCTGCCAAACCTGATACTTAGTTACTGTTTCCGTACCTTTTTGGTCCCTCGTGGCCCTCGGTCTCCTTGATGCGTTGGTCCATTCCTGTTGAAGAACTTGGAGATGATACCATTGGCCTCCCCTTGTTTCTTGGACCCCAAGCGGCCCCGGTACCGCAGCACAGACAGTACTAGGCCCAGCGTGCAGCACAGCAGAGCTCCCAGGATGAGCTCCAGTCGTGGGGAGCTCAGGAGCTCATCACATTTCTTATACACATAGGTGAAGGTGGCCACCCCAAGAAATGTCCACATCTTGACAGGTCTGGTGCCAGGCAGTAACAGGCGGCAGAGATATATCCCTTTAATGCCAGACAAATACACACTGGATGGGCAAACAGCAGCAACAGCACTAGAGTAATAAAAAGCGTGCTCAGGGGCAAATAATGAGGTTTTTCAAACCAGCCAGTGAATTGCTAATAAATACATTAAAATAAGTGAATGCAGTGCTTTGCCTAAAATCAATGTATCAGTGATGGAGTGCAAAGGAGGGAGGTGTCTGTCTAGTGACAGGTATCCCTGTATTGAGTGTAATAATGCTATGTCTAGTGACAGGTATCCCTGTAATGAATGTTATAATGCTATATCCAGGTATCCCTGTAATGAATGGTATAATGCTATATCCAGGTATCCCTGTAATGAATGGTATAATGCTATATCCAGGTAGCCCTGTAATGAATGGTATAATGCTATATCCAGGTATCCCTGTAATGAATGGTATAATGCTATATCCAGGTATCCCTATCCTGCTAGTAATGAGGTGTCTGTCCACTGGTATGGATTCTCTCTGTCAGTGAGCACGGTGCTGGGTGCCGGTTGCTGTCAGTGGGCAGGCAGGGAGCACGGTGCTGGGTGCTGTCAGTGAGCAGGCAGGGTGCTGGGTGCTGTCAGTGAGCACGGTGCTGGGTGCTGTCAGTGGGCAGGCAGGGAGCACGGTGCTGGGTGCTGTCAGTGAGCACGGTGCCGGTTGCTGTCAGTGAGCACGGTGCTGGGTGCTGTCAGTGAGCAGGCAGGGGTGCTGGGTGCTGTCAGTGAGCACGGTGCTGGATGCCGGTTGCTGTCAGTGAGGCACGGTGCCGGTTGCTGTCAGTGAGCACGGTGCTGGGTGCTGTCGGTGAGCAGCAAGGGCAAGTGCTGTCAGTGAGCACGCTGTCGAGTGAGCAGGCAGGGTGCTGGGTGCTGTCAGTGAAGCACGGTGCGGGTGCTGTCGTGAGCAGGCAAGGGTGCTGTCAGTGAGCACGGTGCTGGTGCGTCAGTGAGAGCAGCGTTGCTGGGTGCTGTCAGTGAGCACGGTGCTGGGTGCTGTCAGTGAGCAGGCAGGGTGCTGGGTGCCTGTCAGTGAGCAGGCAGGGGTGCTGGGGTGCTGTCAGTGAGCAGGCAGTGCTAGTGGTGCTGTCAGTCAGAGCACGGTGCTGGGTGCTGTCAGTGAGCAGGCAGTTGCTGGGTGCTGTCAGTGAGCAGGTGCTGTCAGTGAGCACGGTGCTGGGTGCTGTCGTGTGAGGCAGGCAGGGTGCTGGGTGCTGTGTCAGTGAGCACGGTGCTGGGTGCTGTCAGTGAGCAGGCAGGGTGCTGGGTGCTGTCAGTGAGCACACGGTGCTGGATGCCGGTTGCTGTCAGTGAGCACGGTGCTGGATGCCGGTTGCTGTCAGTGAGCACGGTGCCGGTTGCTGTCAGTGAGCTGAGGGCAGGGGTGCTGGCAGTGAGCAGGCACGGTGCTGGGTGCAGTCCCTGTTTTCATGCGGGGGTGTGTGTTCTCCCAGGGGGTGGGTGATGTGACAGTCAGGCTGGATGACCAGCTCGCAGTACCCAGACCAGGCCCCTTCCTCCCAGCGGCTGTCCGAGTGCCGTGCCCGGGGCGAGGTGTGTGTGAGGGGGTCTCTGGTTTAATCCCAGTGAGGGGATCACATAGAGCGGCACGGGGAAAGGATGCAGCCTGGGGCGGAGCCAGCTCTCAGACTCAGCAACACCCGGCTAATGGTTGCTCGGCAACCAGGGACAGCGACGACGTTGAGGTGGGCGTGGTTTCGGCAAACCCAGCAGCTGTGGAAAAGCACGCGTGCGCTAAGCCACGCCCATGATCTGTCTAGCCAATGCGGTCCCGGAGTGCAGTGAGCAGAGCTCACGCTATGGAATGCTCAGCCAATGAGAGCGGGCAGGCATCTCGCTGGAGACATCTGTCCTCGCGCTAGTGCGATGTAACGTCAGTTAGTGTACCTGTGGGCGTGGCTAATCTCACCTCAGGGTGGACTGAGCTGTACTATGACTATCAATGTAAAAATATATAAAATACTATTAAAAAAATAATACAGTTTGATTAATGACACAAACACTGTCACCTGAGAGAAATGTGCAGTAAATTTCTGAGGAGAGCTGTGAAGGCTTTGGAAAATTAAAAAGATTTATATTTATTCTAGTATTTCCCATAGAGTTACCATGAGTAAAATCTGCATTCTGACAGAATTAAAAGACACTAGGTGGAAAATAAAACTTTAAATCTATCTGGGGAATATATTCAAATTGTCCTAATAATTTATTTCTTGATTAATATCAATAAATTGATAATAAATGGTTGAAACCGCTATCGTTTGTGTTCTGTTGCGGCCGGATATGTAAAAAATAAAAATAATAGCTAGGTTTATTCACCAAACAGAGAATTGTATTACATTTTTTTTTTTAAAAATGTGACTTTTCTGCCCACCGGCTTGACAGAAAAACACAACAGGACTGAAAAAATAAACCGTCAGTTTAGTACGTTTTAATGGTACTAGAGGCTGTGGCTGAATGTTATTTAACATAACGTAATAATAATATCAGGAGACAAAATGACTATAATCTATCTATGTGCTTATTATTGGCCTGTTTATACGAGAGCATTAATGAATGGGATTTATTATTTCTACACCATTAACAAATAAATAAAGTATTACAAAAACCATGACAAATTTATCAAAATATATAGTGTGCAACACGTTTGGTGTATGTGACCGGATGCAGGGCCGCTGCAAGGATAATTGGGTACACAGGCAAAGATGATTTTGGCACTCCCCCCCTCCAAAAAAAAGCATCTTCACCTGTGTGCCTCTTAACCCGTCTTTTGTATCTTATCCTCTTTTTACAATGTCATACCCCCTTTAGTGTATATTATCCCCTATTTTTACCATTATAATGAATAATGGTATGTAATAATCAGAATGTCCAAAAAGGGAGCGTATCTGTCCGAAGAATTAGATTGTCAGCCTGGCGTGAATGCACATTAGGCTGTCTACCAATCATGCAGGATGACCAACCAAAGGCATTAACATGTATTCCTGACGCTATAGTGTTAAAACCACCATCAACCCCCCCGGCTCTCACTTGCCTCCCTAAATATAGTAAAATCTTACTTGTATTCAAGTCTGCAGCTCCTGGCATCCTCTGCTGATATCATCAGAAGTGATTATTTGAACCAATCACAATGCTTCCCCATAGGATTGGCTGAGACTGTCAAGGAGGCAAAGTGCTGCACATTAGACAGCACTGCCCCAGGAAGCACCTCTAGCAGCCATCTGAGGAGTGGCCAGTGAAGTTATCACTAGGCTGTAATGTAAACACTGCATTTTCTTTAATTATATAAATATAACATTTTTAAAAGTTGCTTATCTTGGGATATGGAAGTATTCCAAGTAGTTCTGTGGGTGCATCTTCTGGTTCTGAACTTTTGCTGGGTGCATGCCACTTGTATAACTCCTTCTGTCGGAGCATTGCCAAGGTTTACCAGAGGCAACAGTGTTGTGGAAGCAATACATGTTATCTGCCCCTTTTCCCCTGGCATGAGAATGAGCATGACCATAGAGGTGCATGGAGGCGCTGAACGTTCCCAATAGAGATGCATTGATTCGGTTCATCTCTATGAGGAGATGCTGACTGGTGCAGAATTTTGCAGCGCATGCTCAATAGGTTCCCAATACCAAGCTAGATTATCTCAATGAGACACACACACACTGGCACACACACACACTGACACATGCACTCACAAATTATTATATGTTTTTATTAATTTTGTTCCACCCAGCCTCTCTATCTATGGAGGAGGTCCATAGCGCTGGCTTACATTAAGGGGTTTACCTGTCCTGCCTCTCTCTGCTTCCGTTTTCTCAAAATCGAGAAGCTGGAAGGCTCTTGCAAAATCAGGCTGCGGTGCAGCTGATTGGTTGAGAGCGTTCAGTTGATTGATTGGACCACAATCAATGAACTGATAAAGGAGTGAAATGCCAATTTCCCTGAATGTTCATTTGGTCCTATGAACAGCATGCGTAAATAAAAATAAAAGACAACTTGGCATATTAGACAGTGTGATTAAATCCATTTGTCCAGTATTAAATAGCGAGGAGGGAATGGTTATATATTTGTAGATGGAAAATTATTTGCAATTAAGTTCCATAAATTAGAAGGGGAGCTTGCTTAAAGAAGGAGAAAAAAAGTCCATAAGTGACAAAAAATACTATGATGAAAATGTAGTTTATATATGTATAACCAAACACGTACATCGAATAAATAAGCCGTGCAACCACTCTCGGCAAAAGTCCATACTGAAATCTCAGAGGAATGTCTTCTTCAGTGTTGATTTCACAAGCAAAACTGGGGCTTCATCGTTCCCCTCTTCACTGGATACACTGGTTGCAGCCTCTCCCAATATATTGTAAGCTTGATCATCTTGTTAGTATCCTTTACTTGGAATCTGTAACGGCTTACCTTGGTTGGGAGTCTGTAGCGCAGATATATGGTTTAATTTCCAAGGCATAAAAAAAGCATATTTTTATCTAGACGTAGAGGAGACAGACATTGGAAACTCGATAAACGTGATGTGTCTTCGTGATGTGCGAAGCACTTGAATTCCACCATTAGACACTCATGCTTTACATGTTGCTGCTTTGCTCCCCCATTTCAGTGTTGCATTTATTAATGTACCCTAAGCCTTCTTTAAGACTGATTACACTAAATTACATACATATTATAAACAATATTTTATTCACACAAACTAAGTAGAAATAAAAAAATAAAAATTAAATTAAAACCAAAAAAGGAAACATTTAAAACAAAATATGAAGTAGGTGTTTAAGAGCTTTTCTGGGAAACTCCCACCCTACCTGAACACAATGCTTTCCTCAGCTGTTCCCACTTCCTATAAGCTCCGATCCAGTACCAACACTTTATTTAGTCTACCTCAATACAAAAAGAAAGCGGCTCAATCCTCCTTTTCCTGCAGAGCAATTGTGGAATGACCTCCTTTAAGAGATCCCTCTCTACATACCTCAAAACAGAATGCACATTATTATATATTTCCTACCTGTTCTGTTACATTTTGTGTATATTGTGCATTAACATTGTTTATGTATTTTGTTGTACCCTATTGTATCAATGCAATGATTTGTGGACCCAGGACATACTTGAAAACGAGAGAAATCTCAATGTATCTTTCCTGGTAAAATATTTTATAAATAAATATATTTGGTAATACTTGATAAAAAATTGTAGTCAGTAATTAGGGGTTTAGTAGAAGAGTTCATTTATTGATGTTGTAATTACATATATTTGGGGGGGTTTCTGTCCAAATAGAATCTGTATTTCTTTGTGCTGAAGTTGCGGTGATCTTAAATGGTTGACTTTTCAAGCCATAAAAAATTGTTCTTTCTCAAGACATAAAGGAGACAGACATTGTTTTTAAAACAAATGAGCTATTATTGTTAGATTTTTTTCTAGTAATTAGGGTGACCCCCTGCTTTACTAGTGCAACCAGGTAACTAGGGAATATGGTTAAAGGTCTCCCCTAGCCTATGCCTTTGGCTGGCGGAAGATTTTCTTTGACCTATCCCAGGGTTAATATCTTTAGTTATTATTATTGTTATACGGTTTGCTTTAATGCATTTTTTGGGTTGGAATCATATCATTTACCCTTTGTGTCACTATACCCCACTCCCTCTAGAATGTAAGCTCATTGAGCAGGGCCCTCCACCTCTCTGTTCCTGTACGTCCAGTTGTCTGGTTACAATTAAATGTCTGTTAGTCCACCCTTTGTACAGCGCTACGGAATCTGATGGCGCTATATAAATAATAAAATAATAATAATAATGTAAGACACCCTATATCCTTTTATTACAGGAAATTATTATACATCATATTTTAGGCTTTTATGTGATACATGAACTATGCAGTATATAATATAATACATCAATATATTTTGTTGTTATTATCGGTATATTATCAGTATATGATCACATAGACCATGCAGCCAATAAATGCTGTTATTTGTTAGGAGTATCAGCAGCATTATTTGATCAAATTAAGGGCATCTCTATTTTACAGCAATTTGAATTTACATATCCTTGTATCACAACCGTTATTTGTGGCGTTAAGAGGAATATATATGCCCTTACTTAGCCAAAGGACAAGATGGCCCATTTGTGCATGTTAATGCTATGGTTAATATAAATTCTTGTTACTTTGTGCACCTGGGCTGTTCCCTATATATTGGTTTGGGTATTCTGGATCAACTGTCTCTGATGAAGTGCAAGTGAGGCACAAAATGTGTCAGTGTCTTGATCTAGTGCTCCCCCAGCTTGTCCAAGCAGTGCATTAAGATCTAACAAATAAAAGTAGATATTTATTCTTTAATCCACGGGATTGAGGCATTTTCTTTCCTCTGATGAAGTCTGGTTATCAAGCTGAATGTCAAAGCAGTAATGGGATTTTACCTATCTCCAGCAATTTGATGGGGTGGGAGGAGAATTTAATAGTAGAGAAACACTCAAAAGGAACCTAGCACATGATGGATCTTATTTTAAGTATGTACTAGGTGGTCATTTCAGAGGCACATTTTTAAGGTGTGTTTGCATATTGTGATTTAGACCTCTCATTAATGGCTTCTATATTTTAATGACAATATTATTTTTGGTTGAGGGGCCAATAGTGTATTTAGCC